CCTTCACCAAATCTGCCCAGAGTCGGTCTTTTGTGGAGAAGCTTTCCGAGAAGCCACTGCATCGTGTGTGGAACAGAATAGCAATCCCTACGACTCCTTCGCCTGGATGAAGTCGGCTAGTCTCAGATGTGAAACTGAGGGCTTCCTTTTTGCTGCACAGGACCAGTCACTTCCCACTCGTAATCGTCAAAATTTATATCAGTTTCGGAGTGGATGAGTATATCCCAAATCCACTGTGATATTATACCTGTCAGAGGTTTGGACACTGTTCTAAATCCTGTCGTAGTGCTCAACGTTGTTGTGAAGATCATCAAGCTTCCGCCTGCTATAAATGATCCTAAATGTGCAAACTGAGGTGGTGATCATCGTCCACATCTTGCCCTGATGGATTAGTTGTATTGTACATCGTCAACGTGTGTATGGATTAAGCAGCATAGATCTCGTTCGTGTAGTTATATTTGGTTCATTCAGGTCACTTTATGTGTTGGTGTTCCTATAATTGTACTTACCTGACAACAACTTATGTGAGTTTAAGTAAACAAAATAGGCAATACATATATAAGGCTTCTTGTTGCTATAATCAACATATTTAAAGTGGTAGCTAAGGATGAACCTGCAACCAGCTTTATATCAAGGTAAATGGACCCGGGGAAATGAAAAAAAGGGAACCAGATTGCAGCAGGCTATACAATTATTTTTTTTCATGTTAATATTTTAATATTGTTCGTGTGAAGGGAAGTGAATAAAGTGTTATGAATTTAGGTTTTAAATTTCTAATTAACCCTCAATAAGACACACACATACGCACACATACACACACATACACACACACATGTGTTTATGATGAGTCAATATGAGTTTATATCATATATTACTGAATGCCCCTTCCACAAAATGAACGGCAATAGTTTTTGTAACTAGTATTACGCATGCACACTTCCTGTATGTTAGGAGACGCACGTGTGTGTTCCTGTCATTTATGAAGATGGAAGTTTTCTCTGCAATTCTTGCATCAGTAATTACAGAAACTGGAAGTTGCCCAGACTGAAAATTGTGCTCAAAGTACGAAGAACTGGCATTTCTGGCCCCACACTGATGCCAATAGAAATGGGAGCCGTGCAAACCCTGGTTAGCGATCAGTCTGTCCAATAGTCAAATCCTTATTTTTGCAAGTAGTATTTTGGCAAATAAATTTGATTCGCAATAATATAAAGTTTGAATACAAACTTTCACAGATATTCTATTACAAACTAAACGCTCATCTTCCTCACAGATCACACCTATTTATGAGTTGGCAGGAGAAGCAACATGGTAATTGTACAGATGAATCAATTATCAGAAATGTGAACGTGCGAGCCTTGTACCACGTCTTTAGAATGGCATTCATTTGTCTTTGAAAAATGAAAGTGTTACTGCTTAACATCCTGACACTGTGACCATACTTGACTGCGGTGTCAATGGCTTGCATTGTGCTTCTCTCACCTCACCGAAATATTTCCGGCTGAGTAGTGGCACATGGATGAAGTGAGATGGAGTCCTGATATCAATGTTGTGGGTTCATTAGTCATGTAAGTATTCTGTGATAACACAACGGGGTGGCATTATTTCAAGAAAATTTGACAACATTAATAACATTTTCCTCGCAATTAACATAGCACTATCAGCATCCAACGTAATTAGATAATACATAGTAAAAGTGCTAGAACTAGGTTGAATCGCCTCTGATAAAGTTTGTTGCGGGGAGACAACTCTTTCACGACTAACTCATCTGGGCTCATATTGGTCTTTCCGTGCCCCAAATCGCCTTTGAACATTACATACACTCCGTTTGATTTCATTTGAGACCGATGAATTGCTCACGAACACAAAATCTAATAAATGATACAAAACCATATTTTGCACAGTAACATGGAGTCGACAGACTCATAATTCTGGACACCTAAATAAATAACTCGTTTAGCAAACCGAACATTATTTTGCGGCAACATTCGCTTTTTTGCAGGGATGTGTGTGGGGATATACCGCTTTTGTGCATTCAGACATGGGACAATCAAAGTGGTAGGTAGAGAGGGACAGCAAATTCGAGGACATTCAACCAGTATTGGACGGAAGAAAGGTCATGGTCACCGTCTGCGACATAGTCACCTGAAAGTGTCCCAAGCGAAAAGAACTGACATAGACAAAAATAACTAATTAGTTAGGTTTTTACTAATGTTATTGATTTTCATCAATCTCATGTATTTGCTGGAAGATTTTCTGATATCTTGAAACAGTCATGGCGCTGCTTTATAAATGATTCTACAAAATGCTACAGTAAACAATAGCTGAAACAGAAATAGCTGTTGAAACTGCTTGACATGGCATGGTGGAGTTTTACCAACACCTTTATACACATGTATGTTTCATATCTTATGCCAGTACAGGTTTAGGATGTTAAACATCATATGCATGTTTTGTTTGCGTCTATATAAGACACTACCTTATTTTTACATCAGGTAGACAACTAGAGACTTAGGAACCGTTCATTATGTAAACTAGGCCCTAGAAACCAAATGCATACTTTGGCTGGAGGCTTCGTATTGAATGAAATATGTCCATGCTTCTCCATTTGCAATTGTTTGCACTTTCATCCTCAACTATTTGTGAACATGTGTCATGACTTGTATCATGCCTCTTTTGTTACCTGCCAACTTCTAAATAGCCAGTCAACCAGATGTGTCATGACTTGTATCATGCCTCTTTTGTTACCTGCCAACTTCTAAATAGCCAGTCAACCAGATGTGTCATGACTTGTATCATGCCTCTTTTGTTACCTGCCAACTTCTAAATAGCCAGTCAACCAGATGTGTCATGACTTGTATCATGCCTCTTTTGTTACCTGCCAACTTCTAAATAGCCAGTCAACCAGATGTGTCATGACTTGTATCATGCCTCTTTTGTTACCTGCCAACTTCTAAATAGCCAGTCAACCAGATGTGTGATGACTTGTATCATGCCTCTTTTGTTACCTGCCAACTTCTAAATAGCCAGTCAACCAGATGTGTCATGACTGATTTACAATTGTCCAACTACTTGATGGAATCTGTTCTAGCAGAATCTCAGTACCAGTTATACTCATATGTGGATGGTTGATTTAAGAGGAAGAAACCTGGTTTTACGATTGTGGCTTCAGCGCATACTTTATAGTCTTCTGTTCATGATCAAGTGTCAACGACATTAGAATCTGTGCCGAAACGTCGCCTTTTATTCACAGAATACAAAAGTTGTATATTCATAAAACTATCAACATTCTTCATCACCTCAGCTTCTACAATGCCTATCAAAGTCGGAAAAAAAGATTCATTCCTGGTAATAATCTGAGAAGATACTTTGAGCAAAATGCAATAAAAAGTCTGAAAGAAATGATCCAACCCTGCTGTTAATCAACTTATTTTGTATACTTTGCACTTTTTGACGGCGATGTTAAACTATGGGTTGCAGCAGGTAGGTACAAAGATTCTACAGAGAATCTCAGGTTGAGACTTTATCAGGGTTTTACAAAATAATGCACACAAATGCATAAACTGGATGTGTAAAACATAGCGTGACCAGGGACATACAAGCACTCTAAAGTTCCTGTATTTAAAGTGATCATTAAATTTAACAGAACTGTACGCTACACAAATTCATTACTTCACAGGGCCTCATATTTCCTGTAAGGACCCTTGAAATTAGCAAGCTAGGCTCCTGTGGACCCTCTTGTTGGTCCAGTCAAAACCCTTAACTGGGAGGAACGTTGGGAGAAATATTTATTAAGAATTGAATCAGAATACTTACTATTTCTTTTTATATTCGGAAGCATTATATCAAGGTATGACGATTTTTAGATTTGGAAATATGTTTGTTCATATCAGGAATTTGCTGACTGATAATTGTCCTCAGAGTAGATCTAGATATATCCTTGGATGAACACAATCTTTGGTGGGTACCCCATGGTCCCTAGTATGGTGATCAACCCTCAGTTACTGGTGATCTATAGCCCATTTTTATTTTGTGTTGTTCTCTATAACAGTATCGTTTTATGATTACCTGCTACTTTTACCTTCTCTGTGATACATGTACCTTCAGTTGTTGGTGATCTCCAGTCCTTTTAAATATTGTATTCTGTGTACTATTTTTCTAAATTAAAATGTACCTTGCTAGTTTTAATTGGCTGTGGTAATCTAGTTATTCTACTATCCTTTGTCGACAGGTGTTCTGTTTTGTTTGGTTGCTTCATAATTTAATTGCGTTCATTGTTAATTTATAACTTTGTAATGTATATGGCTGAAATATTGCCGATGTCACTATAAGTCTTAACTCGCTTACTCATTTTTCTCAGCTGTCCATATCATAAAGTCACTGATGGACGCCTGTAGAGTAGTCACCAATAGTCCAAGGTGGGATCCTCACCAAGTGTGAAGTAACACATGTACACGTTCAGTACTTTAGATATCAACCGTGGTCACACTGACGTACAGCAAGGCACAGTTATTACGCCAGAGCTGCACCAAACACACTATGGGGCAAATATAGATACATAACACATACTGGGTAACCAACCAATTGACAAGTCAGCAGTTGATGATGTATTCATTATATTAAGTGAAGCAATAATAAAATAAATTCTTGGATATGTTTGGATCATGTTGCTTTCACACTACATTGACCAGTGAAAAGATAATTGTCAATGAAATACATGAGCATGTTGATAACGAGCGTGAATGGTGTGGATGATGTATTCCGTTTTGCATTTGTCGCTTTGTTTAGTAACACCAAATATAACACTTCTTTATTGAATTCATGAACGGATGAGTGAGTGAATGTAAGTTGTAAACTACTACACACAGAAGGGTATATATATCCAGGTGTATCCAATACTATCATCATGTGTGTATGTTGTTACGAGTGAAGGTGTGATAAAGGGGTATATGACACCAATTAACTCGTAACAATGAAAATGGATCACACAACAATTTGACTAATTTCAGGAAGATTTATTTATACTATCCTAACAGAAGGCTGATACAGGATACCAATTTACAAATGTGGAAAGTGAAGAGGGAATTGTCTTAGATATATTATGGGCAAAGCAATATGGCATAGTCACCTCATTTTTAAATCCTTCCTGTACACCATGATTTCCTAGTTTCCATATTTGACAAAGTCCCGACGTGGGTGCAAGTTTGTGAATCCACATTATGGGTACAACCACAACTGGCAAAATTCGCGTCCTCAAGAAACATCCCAGCTAGATCAGAATCACCGAGCTTCTCCCTATAAACTGGCTGGCCACATTAAAAAAACTGACCAAAGCTGAATTCATCAAACCCCAAGCTGTACCACTAGTTACATAACAATTTCTCGCGAAAGCGAAGGCCCCTCACCCCAAGCTAAAACTAATTACACCAAGTATACTCATCACTATCTAAAACTGTACATTATATTTGCAAAATACGTTTCATCACCCATAACAATGTGTACCTGCAGCACTATATCCACGTGTATCCAATACTGTCATTGTGTGTGTATGTGTACCTGTAGCACTATATCCAGGTGTATCCAATTCTGTCATCATGTGTGTGTACCTGTAGCACTATATCAAAGTGTATCCCATACTGTCATCATGTGTGTGTACCTGTAGCACTATATCCAGGTGTATCCAATACTGTCATCATGTGTGTGTACTTGTAGCACTATATCAAAGTGTATCCAATACTGTCATAATGTGTGTGTACCTGTAGCACTATATCCACGTGTATCCAATACTGTCATCATGTGTGTATGTGTACCTGTAGCACTATATCCAGGTGTATCCAATACTGTCATCATGCGTGTGTACCTATAGCACTATATCCAGGTGTATCCAATACTGTCATCATGTGTGTATGTGTACCTGTAGCACTATATCAAAGAGTATCCAATACTGTCATCATGTGTGTATGTGTACCTGAAGCATTATATCCAGGTGTATCCAATACTGTCATCATGTATGTATGTATATATGTAGCACTATAGCAAAGTGTGTTCAATACAGTCATTATGTGTGTACCTGTAGCACTATATCCAGGTGTATCCAATACTGTCATCATGTGTGTATGTGTACCTCGAGCACTATATCCACGTGTATCCAATACTGTCATCATGTATGTATGTATACATGTAGCACTATATCCAGGTGTGTTCAATACTGTCATCATGTGTGAATGTGTACATGTAGCACTATATCCAGGTGTGTTCAATACTGTCATCATGTGTGTATGTGTACCTGTAGCACTATTTCCGCGTGTATCCAATACTGTCATCATGTGTGTATGTGTACCTGTAGCTCAATATCCAGGTGTGTTCAATACTGTCATCATGTGTGTATGTGTACCTGTGGCACTATATCCAGGTGTGTCCAATACTGTCATCATGTGTGTACCTGTAGCACTATATCCAGGTGTGTCCAATACTGTCATCATGTGTGTATGTGTACCTGTAGCACTATATCCAGGTGTATCCAAAACTGTCATAATGTGTGTGTACCTGTGGCACTATATCCACGTGTATCCAATACTGTCATCATGTGTGTATGTGTACCTGTAGCACTATATCCAGGTTTATCCAATATTTTCATCTTGTGTTTGTACCTGTAGCTCCATATCAAGGTATGTCCAATACTGTCATCATGTGTGTTTACCTGTAGCACTATATCAGGTGTCCTCAATACTGTCCATTTTGTGTTTACCTATAGCTCTATATCCAGGTGTGTCCAATACTGTCATCGAGTGTGTTTGCCTGTAGCACTATATCCAGGTGTGTCCAATATTGTCATCATGTGTGTTCCTGTAGCTCTATATCCAGGTGTGTCCAATACTGTCATCTTGTGTGTTTGCCTGTAGGTCTATATCCAGATGTACCCAATACTGTCATCAGGTGTGTACCTGCAGCACTATATCCAGGTGTTTCCAGTACTGTCATCGTGAATGTTTGTCTGTAGCTCTATATCCAGGTGTGTCAAATACTGTCATCGAGTGTGTTTGCCTGTAGGTCTATATCCAGATGTACCCAATACTGTCATCATGTGTGTACCTGTAGCACTATATCCAGGAGTGTCCAATATTGTCATCATGTGTATCCCTGTAGCACTATAGCCAGGTGTGTCCAATGCTGTGTGTGTACTTGAGCACTATTATTGCATTTGTACAGTGCAGTGTGACTAATGGTGTTTTTCACATTTCGGACATTAAACATTATAACAACTGCAACTGTAGTTTATATGAACTGAACAAAATTGCAAAATATCATTGCTGTGCTACATGTCCAGAACATTTGATTTTCAAGGGACAATTCCTCCGTTACAATTAAGATCTACTGCCGCGTTTTTTCGCGGAAGCATCTTTTCGTCCGCTTCTTTCTTTCCCAATTCGTTGCTACAACAGACAAAGGATAAAGACATTGCATGTGCATCCATAAATCTACAATGATGGGTTTGAATTTGCTTCACGAACTAAGCAGTGATAGAAACTTAGTCTGAAAACAAGGGGTATCTGTATTTACATTTCAGGTAACACAGAACAAGAATCGCCTCCTTGTGAATTACTCACCTGGTGTGTGCACGATGCTGTGCAAGCTTCCATAGTAACACTACACTGGCCACTATGATGATGATTAGGACTGAAAGAACCACGGTGATGGGGATGATGATTTTTCCCTTCTCGGGGTCCTCACCTATAGCATAATAAAAATACATACATGTCATATATATATATCTTATTGGAACAGCAACAGGTTGACGTTGGCCATGACAACCCGAGAGTGTTGTTTGCGTACATTGGGAGTGATTAAAAAATGAGAGTGGCTTCGAATTTCGGTTTACAATGTTCATCTTTTTAGTTTTGGTCAACATGGTAAATGGTGATCACCTGCATCACGTGCGCCATCTAGTCATCATTGGTGGATATAACGCCATACAGCTCAAATACAGAGTTACACCCAACTCTGTCATTAGAGGATATACCGCCATTCAGCTCAAATACAAAGTTACACCCAACTCTGTCATTGGTGGATATAACGCCATTCAGCTCAAATACAAAGTTACACCCAGCTCTGTCATTAGTGGATATAACGACATTCAGCTCAAATACAAAGTTACACCCAACTCTGTCATTAGTGGATATAACGACATTCAGCTCAAATACAAAGTTACACCCAACTCTGTCATTGGTGGATATAACGCCATACAGCTCAAATACAAAGTTACACCCAACTCTGTCATTGGTGGATATAACGCCTTACAGCTCAAATACAGAGTTACACCCAACTCTGTCATTAGTGGATATACCGCCATTCAGCTCAAATACAAAGTTACACCCAACTCTGTCATTAGTGGATATAACGACATTCAGCTCAAATACAAAGTTACACCCAACTCTGTCATTAGTGGATATAACGACATTCAGCTCAAATACAAAGTTACACCCAACTCTGACATTAGTGGATATAACGCCATTCAGCTCAAATACAAAGTTACACCCAACTCTGTCATTGGTGGATATAACGCCATACAGCTCAAATACAAAGTTACACCCAACTCTGTCATTAGTGGATATAACGCCATTCAGCTCAAATACAAAGTTACACCCATCTCTGTCATTGGTTGATATAACGCCATACAGCTCAAATACAAAGTTACACCCAACTCTGTCATTGGTGGATATAACGCCATTCAGCTCAAATACAAAGTTACACCCAACTCTGTCATTGGTGGATATAACGCCATTCAGCTCAAATACAAAGTTACACCCAACTCTGTCACTTGTGGATATAACGCCATACAGCCCAAATACGGACTTACACCAAGGCCAGTCACTGGTGGCTATAACGCCATGCAATGTGCTTAGTGACCAGGGCCTAGATTTTCGAAGTTCTCCTACCGCTAAGATAGTCGTAAGTTAATGTTAATGTATGGCACTTACGACTATCTTAGCGCTAAGAGAGCTTCGAAAATCTAGGCCCTGGATTACCACTGCCTCAGTAGCGTAGATACCTGTGTAGCAAGGACGACTCTACTGTCCCCTGGTGACACGACATAAAACACTGACAAGACAACATCAGCAACAGTATCAGGGATCCTAGCCTCCTACGCACACCCCATCAATATGATATACACACAGCCTTGATAACTGTGTTACCACAGTATCATATATAACACGTCATTCGCGTTGTTCACCTACCTCCCTGAACATCGAAGTGCGAGTCACGGTCAGACGCGCCTGATGTTATTCTAGTGAATTGTTTACGTGGATTCCTGACATAGTACCCGTATTCCGCTATAGTGAGTGTTGGTTGTAGCTTCCGAACCATACATTGTTGTATACTAGACCTTTATGTTACTATGGGAAGTTTCAAATAGGCGATCGTACGGCCTCTAAGGTGTAGTGGTTAGAGCGTCCGAGTAGAAGGTCGCGGGTTGGATGCCCTTCCTCGTTATATCAAAAAACGTTAACAGATGGTACTTGTTGATCCCTTCCTGGCGCTCTGCATCAATGGGTACAACAGGGACTGGTCGGCTCGGAGTCAGTATAATGTGTCTGAGTGGCGTATTCATGCTTATCTGCGGCATGGTATCTCAGTGAGCTAACATATAAAACCAGCTTAAGTCTGGGCTAGTGCACGCGGTCACATATACACACGCATGCACGTCGTCATATGAGTAAAATATTCTTAAGTACGACGTAAAAAAAATTCACCTGGCCTAAAACAGGTGATCAAACGCGCCGTACTTTGTCAAATGATGTCTGTCAACAGTAACGGGTTGGATAGGTATATTCCAATCTTGGTGCGTAATTGCTACTATTACTACAACACGAGGTATCTCACCTACAGCTCGACTATTAAAGGTTTATCCTCCTAACGGCTGATGTTTGTTTCCTTGTGTGTTAGTGAGGCAAAGCAAGTCAGCATGTTAATGTTTAGTGAGTTAGATACCAACCACAGCAATATCATAGCGGAACATACCAACCTTGCCAGCCACACGATACAGATAGATAATAAGACTCATTGTATGTATTTACGCAGTTTATTTGAAAAAAAGAGTGTAAAACACATTCATACTTATGTATGCACTAAGATAAATAGAAGCTACAAAACAAAGACGTTTACCACATCCACACGACATCTTTACCGAGAGCAGAGTCGCCGGTATGACTCCGACTACACCATGTACATTGGTACATTAGAAGTTGTTCACTGGTATCGAGGGGGACATGGGTTGATGTACCCTCGAAGGAACAGTGTACAACGTATTTATCTTACCCAACACCTCAATGGTAATTTTGAACTATTTGAAGCACGGGTATCTGATCATAGCATGGAGTACCAGATGACAAGAAAAACAAATGTAGAGTTATCTCCCTTCCATCGATTTGCCTTCGCAAAACATCGGTAATTTCCATGCATCATACGTGATTCAATGTTATTCGAGATAAAGAATTACTACTACGAAGTACCAAATGAGTTCGGCACTCCAAGCGGGGTACATAGAAAATGTTGCTCGCTTGTAAGCGGGGTACATTGAAAATAATAGAAGAGCGCTTAGCCAATCAGAAAACGACATTTATGTGTGAGGCAAGATAAGTGTTTATGAACCATTGTCAAATGATGATGACATCAGCCAAAGGCACCCGCCTTTAAAGGCCCCTTTTTATTTGTTAAATAACATATACAAGCCGATTATGAAAAAGTTCAATAAAAATCCTCCGTGTCAACATCCATAGGTCATCTCTATTAAAGGCCCAGTTGATTGTACGAGTCCAACTAATATGAGTCCTGAGATCAGTTTGAAGATATACGTACTGTGTTTCCATCATGTCAGTTAAGCATCAAAGCAAAACATACTAGATCTACTTACCATGCATCTGACATGGCTATCTTGGAATATATACTGTAGAGATGGTCTTCACAGTATCAAGGAGACCCAGCTGGTATTGGTGGGGGGATTTGTAAACACGGTTGTGTCATGGGTTTTGCATTAGATTAAACAGCCTAAGCAGAGCAACAGCTAAGGTCTCCTAAGAAGGCAAAATGAGATGTATTTCGACTTGAAATATAGGCTTCTGTCTGTCTCAATAAAGAATATAATTATAGAGTCATAAGGGGAGAACAAATATTCGGATTGAAAGGAAAAGCGTTTCTGTTCTAAAAATGGAACGAGAAGATTTTTTTGGAGAGTAGCAATAAATATTATTTTCCTGGTCACATGCCGACATGATTGCATGTCTATTGCACATTAACACTGTAACTACAGTGTGCATCTACTGCACCAGGCCAGTAACAGTAGAGTGGGACATTAGTTTGCGCAGGTAATTGCATATATTTTCCCAAAGGTGCAAACTGTAACTTGCGCGTTGATTCCCCGTCAGGTTTTCATCCGTATTTACTCCTTCATACAAAGTAGCAAGACGTGCGTGGAATTTTGGCACATGAGGCATGTGTCTGGTTTATAATGTCCTACAACATGTCCATGTCCGCTCCTTCATCCGGGTCCCTGCAACACACAAGCAATAACAGGTGTAAACACTGCCAGATTGATAGTTTAAATGGTCCTCACCACAGGGCAATCACAAAGCCTGTGTTAAGGACATATAGTATGACCAGAAATTATTGAGAATTTTAGGAATATGTTTAATTGGATTTCTAGTATAAACAACCTTGACCAGCTATCAAGTGCTTGGTTTCAGTCAAGAGAGACAACTCCGTTATTCCTTTTTCATTAGTTTGTGAAGAGTTATCCCCCTTTGTTTACTTGCTAGCAGAAGACATTTTCAGTGATCCTCAGCAAGGATAAATTAGAGAGGAGGAAGTTGATTTTAGAGTATTATAACAAGGACATCAGATTAGCTAAAGTGATTTCAAGTAGAACAGGCATCCCTTTGTCCACTGTCTATCGTGTTCTGAAAAATATTCCAAATGGATATGGCAATAGGTGTGATGCACCAGGCAGGCGCAGGTAGGGCCCGACAATTGACTGTCGGTGACAGGAGGCGGCTTGGTATTCTTTTTTTCTTAAAACACACGAAGGAGTTTAGAAAACTTAAGGCTGGATATGATTGAAAGAGGAACTATTACAATCTTTAAATTCTCAATAAAGTCTCAATACATACACATATACATAGTAGAGAGTGAGTTTAGTTTCATGCCGCTTTTATCAACATTCCAACAATATTACGGCGGGCACACCAGATATTGCCTCTGTTTCAACCAGCAGAAAATGGGTACCCGGTGAGATAAGTAAAGTGACTATGACCTTCTAGCGCCTCACAGGCAGCAAACTGAAACATGAGTCCCATTAACCTATTCAGACTATGACCTACTTTTCAGCCGAATTTTCTCATGCGAAAGTAAAAAGAGACACCACAAACAATTATGGTTACACTGAATTCCAATTCCTTGTTTCATAAGCAAGTGGAATATTTAAGTTGATTTTAAATTTAAACTTTAACAACATCGTATTTGTATATTTTATGGCGAGGTGTAGGCAGCATGACCTTAACTTAGACGTCACAGGCTGACCCTGTTTGATGAGGCCGTAAACTGATTAACAATACATCTGGCTCACTGGTTACCTGTTATGTGTTTTTTACACGTTTTCAGTGTGGTGTTATAACGCACAATGTCATTGACGTACTATCAAGTCCGTACAAGACCGCCAAACGTTTCTTGCGGCAGAGCCTCTTAATGAGATTTCCACGATTTCCAGATTTCCGTTTGTCAGAGCTCGTTGTACGACAGAGCACGCTGCACGACGTGTTTGCAAGGATTAGAAGGACCGTAGTGTTGCAATATACAAGTGGTTGAATGTATCAAATAATACTGATTAATATTTATGTATCCAGTTGAATGAATTGGTCTGAAAATTCTGGACTGGTTATTGTACTAAGTTGCGCAATAGGACGCAACCCAGTGAGCAGGAAACGAGACTGTTGTGTAACCAATGCTTTGACGTGTAAGGTTATCCGGGGTAATAATAATCAGTTTATGAATACAGCGTCCAGTGAGCAGCTAGTCAGATGGATACACGGCGCTATATATATGAATCATTATTGAATTGATATTATATGGTCTTCACACATTGTACCCAACTGGGGAATCGAACCCGGGTCTTCGGCGTGACGAGCGACCGCTTTAACCACTAGGCTACCCCACCGCCACTCGTATACAACAGGTAAGACAGGCCAACCATCACCGCTATATGTAAGACTCACCTGGGGCGTAAAATGATCGTCCTCCTGAGAGGGTAGTACGTCCCAAAACATTCAAAGTTAATTTAAACTCTCCACCTTCTTAATCGTAGAATATGTGTATTTTTAATGTATGGCTAGATGTGTGTAAATTGTTAAAAGCTGAAGTGATGATGTAGATCCAGCTAGGGTCCATGCAGGAAGCAAATGAACTGAAAGTTCCCATGGTCCCTAGTATGGTGATCTACCTTCAGTTGTTGGCAATCTATATTGTATCGTCTTGTATAGTTAAAATGTTTTAAATTTAAGTACTAGTTTAAGATTTCTTTCTCTCATAATCTAGTTGTTTTACTGTCCTTCGTTGACAGATTTTTATAATTTCCTTTTAATAATTTTAATCTATTACTTGATTTAGTCACGATATGCCTGACATATTGCCAAAGTGACTTTAAATTTTAACTCACTCACTCACCTGGGGTGTTGCCTTTGTCTTCTTCGCTTATACAGTACTAGGACTACGATGATGATGATGATGATGATGATGATAATGACAATCGGAGCTACATAAGCTGCGGGATTCATCTTGCTTCCTCCCTCTTCGGGCACATTATCTAAAGGAAAAACAACACCTAGGTTTAAGACCGATATTCTATTTGGAAAATGGCCAACAATTTATACAAAGATAAGGGTGCTGAGTATTTGAGACAGAGTGAGATAGAAAGATGACAAGTATCACCCACACCATGCAGATATCAGCCCCAACAACCACGACAACCTAGGTAAAGTTTCACAATATGCAGGTTTGAATTAACTTTTTAGTTGCAAGGATTGTTTTCATTTCAAAACACATCTCAAACAAGACGGTTGATATATTACCATATTACCATACTAGCTTGCCATAAACAGCAATATCTTACCAGATTTCATTCTTGTCCCGCCTCTGGTTCATCTCAATCACCAACACTCAAATGTATGCAAATTTTGAACCTAATTTGAGTTTCAAAACAGAACATAAATGACAAATGACCTCAAACGAACATTTATTTTTGTGTTATATTCTTTATTCGATGCCGCCGTTTCATCACAAATTCAGTACCGCCATTTCGCCAAGTTCACACTTTGAAATCAAAGAGCTTTACTTTTCTAAAAGATGAAATTAAGGACGGCCTGTAATGGGAGAAGGCGACAATGGGATATAACGGTAACTCAAAACACAATCACAACGCATCTTAAAATGTCTGACAGCCAGGGCATGTCCCGTACAACGAGCAACGTGTAAAGTCAATGTAAATAATTACCTTTGAGTGACTCACCATTGGTGAAATCGTAGATCGACGACCGTGTACAGTCGCACTGACGGAAACAGGACACCAACCCCGACGTAGGAACGGACGGCAGATCTAGGACGTGTCCTGTCGTATCCACGTTCTCTATCCAAGACATATTTAGGAAAACCTGAAGAAGTAACAAGCACCCTTTACCTTCACGTCATGGACTTTACTACACTGGCGACAGCAGGCTTTCTGGTGCCTGTTTAGTGGCCGGGAAGAAACAGTCCGTCTCTAGCTTCAGGTTACATTCTCCGAGTGAGTGAGTGAGTGAGTGAGTATGGTTTACGCCGCTTTTAGCAATATTCCAGCAATATCATGGCGGGGGACACCAGACATGGGCCTCACACATTGTACCCATGTGGAGAATCGAATCCGGGTCTTTGGCGTGACGAGCGTACGCTTTAACCACTAGGCTACCCCACCACACCGCTACCAGAAGAAGCACCCCAGACCGTGTAGACAGACACTGGTTGTCGGCGATCCAGCCACATCCTTTCTGGTTTAACGTTTACACTCAGGGGAATCTGTCTCGGCATACAGTCGGGACTGGTTATTCCCTGGCGTTGACGCTTTAAGGAAACTGGCCATGAAACTTTTAAATTACTTTTGTTTAGAACTTCCTGCTATCATTCACCAATAGAAGTCGGTTGGTGGCACAAAAATTCCAATCGAAGAAAGAATGTGAAAATTCACATACGTGAAGAGAACGGTGATGAATTCCATCATATTTATCTGTCTATCTTCAAATATCCTAAACTATTTTGTTAAAAAACCCGTGTTAAAATTTAACGAATTGTTTAAATGTAAAGCGAAATAAGACTTTTACAAAAACTGTGTATATTCAGTAATGCCATCATGACAACTGTACAATCTTCCATGTAAACCATCCCGCCATCCCATGTATTCTGTATATTTGTACCTCTTATGCCCACTATACCGGCCTGAGTGTAATGAAAGTTATGTACTGTATTGTTGTGATGTGTTTTATTGGCGTCACACATGGCACGAATGGGTCGTGAATTGTCCTACCAAAACTGGAACCTGAAGACTCCAAGATGGGAAACAATGTGGATCACACCTCAGTGTCAGTATACAATTGGTGGACGTTCATACTGAGTGACCTCCACAATCATAGAAATACGTACTGCAAAGTCCACCTGAGGTATATCTGGCATGAAACAGACACCATCTGCTATGAGAGTGTGGTAAAGGTCACAAATCTACCTGTTGCCTTTCCTTAAATCCAAATGCATTTTTAATTGACAGTATGTGACTTAACTGTATCACACGAGAGAAAGAGGGTTACCTCCCTTTAGCTGTAATCCCAATACAATGGACGAGCAGAGAAGCTACATGTACAAGAGGTGCAGTCGATGTTGCTGGAGTTAAACTAGTTTTACTATATATAGATGACTACTGACACACGTCGTGAAACATACATGGCCGTTTCCAATATACACGGCACGGTTATTGCATGGTAGAAACATAAGTGAAAAGGTGAAACAGAGGGTATATAATAATACAGTGTCACAGTTGCACAAGATAATAAACGTCTCTCAATGTTTGGTAACATTCCAATGAAATACATCCATTAGATTATTAGATTATTTCCTCGACCGTGGCACTAATTGTATTATCCCTTTTTTCTTGTCAGTTTGCAGGTACCAGCAAAATGCACTGAGTGGCAAGGATACGTAAAAACATGTAATATGAGTTAGGCCGAAAATACCACGTGTAATTCGCGTACTGGTATGTTTTGTTACCCCGACAGTGTTGATAATACAATATTTGTTATTTTATATAGATTTGTGTCTCGTAAGTCTGGACTTTACTTTCCATAATTATGTTATATATCTTAAAGTATAAAATGCTCTGTAATTGGAAAATGGTGACACATAAATACTAATGTTCTTCTTCGTCTATATTACCCAGCTGAAGTCCGACTTCCTCTCCTCCCCACAGGACAGCGTCTTCTGGTTGATGACACCAATGTCCAAGTTGACACTTTGTACCTCTGTAAAATGTTATATTTTACTGCAGCAGCATAATTTCTGGTGCGTTCAACGATTTCTGATCATTGTTCAAGTGTACAATGTTTACCAAAACTATATTTTACATCGTTTATGTGTTGGGCGCCTGTCGACCTAAGGGCCTTAGAGAGGCGGTGGAGCAGCCTGATGGTTAAAGCGTTCGCTCGTCGCGCTTAAGGCCCGGGTTCGATTCCCCACGTGAATACAATATGTGAAGCCCATTTCTTGTGTCCCCGCCATGATATTGCCGGAATATTGCTAAAAGCGTAGTAAAATCATACTCAGTCAGTCAGTCATTAAAGGCCTCAAACAATAAGAAACACAACATTCGTCATGCAAAAGTTACCTTTCACTTCCAAATTCCATATAATGTTAAATTTCCCGCTTGGAAATGTGATGACAGAGGCGTATGTTCCTGCGTCCGCGGCGCTGACCTTCTCCAGCCGAAACCCAACCTCACCTGCCTGTAGCAGATGGAAGCGAGGCTCGTACTCGGCTGTGATGCGCAGTGAATCCTGTAGAAACAAACAGAGGGGATATTACATGAAGACGATGACCAAACCCAACCTCACCTGCCTGTAGCAGATGGAAGCGAGCCTCGTACTCGGCTGTGATACGCAGTGAATCCTGTAGAAACAAACAGAGGGGATATTACATGAAGACGATGACCAAACCCAAGTAGTGTACCATGTCACCCTGGGGTCTTTTTCAAGATGGCGGCACATCCGGTCCCCCTGGGCGCCGCCATCTTGGATCAGTCACTTCCGGTCAGGGGGGAGATCACTCGGGTTCCGGTTCCGGTGGTTCCGGTTCCGGCGTGTGCGTATGCATGGTGATGACGTCACGTCCGGTTCCGGTGGGTGCGCGCGCATGACGATGACGTCACCTCCGGGCCAAGATGGCGGACGCGGTTCAAGATGGCGTCCCATCCGGTGGGATCGCGTGAGATCTCGCGGGATCTCGTGGATTCTCTCGGGATCTCGCGAGCGTAGACGCGTTTCAAGATGGCGGAACCGACGGGCGGCGGACGGGACGGGACGGAGAGGGAAGGGAAGGAGAGGAAAGGAGAGGGAAGGAGGGAGAGGGGGTGAGGCGGACGATGGCGTGGCTAGACAAGTGTGTGTGTGTGTGTGTGTGTGTGTGTGTGTGTGTGTGGTTAAAAAACATTGGATGTAGCCTTCTTTCGAGCGAGGTGGGTGGCCCTGAAAAGGGCCGTTGGTATGGGTGGGTGAGAGATCACCGAGGCATCTATTGTGGTGATGGTGGTGCACTGGAGGCAGTGCTGCTGGAATCGTCCATGGGTTCGACAAACTCCAAGATGCGTTGAAGTAGAGAGTACATGGTGTCTATGCGATCTTGAACGAGGAGGACCTTGTCATGGAGTAGAGCCAGTAGATGTTGGCTTTCACGTTTACTCACTTTCTTTGGCGGTTCACTTGGCTGGTGGGTGGATGTCGGTCGTTTCTGGGTCTTGTTAGAGCAGTTCATACTCTTATGGTCCTCTTGACCACAGTGACGGCAGGGATGTGGACAGGCGTAACTGAGATGACCTTCGTTTTTTCCACAGTTGTAGCAGGTGTTGTTATCGTGCTTGTTGTTGTCCTTGGTCTTCTTGGGACATACGTAATGGCGATGACCTTGAGCACCACACTCGGTACAGGTCACCTTGGGACAGTGTAGATAACTGTCGTCATCTGTTTCGCACAGGCGGCAACGGAAGGAGGCGGCGGCGGAGGCGGAGGCGGGAGACGACTGCATGCTTTTAGTTTCAGTGAGCAACTGATGAGGAGAGCTGGAAAACCTCGAATTTATATAGCTGGGGTTGATGACGTCACTTTGACGCATCCGGTTCGGACCGGTTGCATCCGGTTCGCACCACTCTCATCCTGACTCAACAGGGCGATAGGCTAGTGTGACGTCATGGGGTATGACATCATTCCTATAAATAACACATGAGCTCATGGTGTGCACTGCCACGCTTAGGACGACCTATTGTGACGTCATAGGGTGACGTGACCTATATAAACCAGGCTCAGCGTGGGTCTTACCAGTTCTCACCATGCCGTCACCACGAATGAACGAAGATGAGCTTGAAGAGGAGCCTGTGCCCTACCAGTTGGAGCGGACGACTCAAAGAACAACCAAGAAATTCCGGACTGGTACCCAGCGCTACAACCTGACGTTCAATTCAGCTTGGCTGCAGCGTCAACAGCCTGAAGACCTTCCCGTCGTTCTCAGAGAACAGTTTGATGCAGTGTTAGCAGATTTGAGAGACGATGTGGGCGGCCAGGATGGTGATCGTGTGGGATTGGCCCTGGAACACTCAGCCCTGGATTCAGACATTCGAGTCCCATTTCAGAGGATGGGTGACCTCCAGGGGGAACACATCATGGCCCAAGTGGAAAAAGTACAACAAAGCAACCACGATTTACATATCGATGACACCATGGACATTTTCTTACTGCATGTAGAGGATCCTGATCGTATCGGTGAGGGACACGGCCGGCCAAGGCACCTCGTTGGCTTAAACACTTTCCTGGGAAAGAAACAATGCATCGTTCAAATCAAGAATGAGGATCAGCTCTGCTTTGCCCGTGCCCTGGTCGTGGCCAGCCACCATGAACACAAACCCGATCCTGTGACCAAGGAATGGACGAAGGAATGGCGATACATACGTGACGAACGAAGACCAGCGCAGCTGAAGGCCGCCAAGGGCTTGTTTCGCCAACTCAAGATCCCCGAAGGTCCTTGTACAGGACGTGCCACGTGGGAGTTGTTCAGTCAGCGTTTGGCCCCTTACTATCAGCTCAAAGTCTACTCCCAAGATGTGATGAATCGACTCCTGTACAAGAGTGAAGTGGCTCAACCCACCAAGATCCTACACCTCTATCACCACCATCAGCATTACGATGTCATTACATCCATGACTGCCTTCACAGGTTATCCCTACTATTGTGAAACTTGTGACCAAGGATACGCCAACACTCAAGATCATCGTTGCACCCGAGAATTTCAATGCCACTGGTGTCAATGTCCTGGATACTGTGGCGACGTGGTCAGTGAAGGACTCTCCTGTCTCCAATGTGGCGGGTGGTTCCGAAACCCTACTTGCTTTGAACGACATCGGACGGCCTCCGCCAAGCATCCCAGCACCTGCTCCACCATTCACACGTGTCATCGATGTCTGGCCAAAGTCAATGTGAGGAAAATCCAGGGCATGGCCAACCACCAGTGTGGCACGAATCGTGACTGTAAGATCTGCAAAGAACCCTTGAAACCCAACCACCAGTGTTACATGTCCGTCATCGAACCACCGAAACAAAATGAAGATGGTGAAAAAATGGATGAAGACAAAGAACGACAACAGCGTCAGTTCATCTTCTATGACTTTGAATGTACTCAAGATCAAGGGACTCATGTTCCCAACTTGTGTGTGGTGCATCTGGGATGTGGAAAATGTATTTCCGAGGCCTCGGATCAGTTGTGCGACAAGTGTCCCTGGCGTAAGGAAGGAGAAGGGCCTGGCCGTATCAAAGTGTTTCGGGGATCTACGACCTTGAAGGACATGGGCGACTGGCTGATGCGTCTGGCGGAAAAGAAAGAGAAGCAGAAGAAGAAACGTAAGGCATCCCAGCAGCAGCAGCCGTCAGGCCGTGCCTCGAAACAACCCAAACTGTCATCACCAGAACCCGATGATGATGTAGAACAACAAGATGGCGACAAAGAACAAGACGATGAAGACGACATTTCTCCTACCATTGATGATGACGACGTGTTGGTCATTGCACACAACTACCGTGGGTATGATGGACACTTGCTCCAACAGTACTTCCATCAACATCTCGTGAAAGCACCCCAGGTCACACTTCGAGGGAATCACATCTTGCAAATGACCATGGGACGTCTTGTTTTCAAGGATTCACTCAACTTCCTCACGATGGCTCTGAAGCAGTTTCCAAAAACGTTTTCATTGACGGAACTCAAGAAAGGCTACTTCCCTCACTTCTTCAACACCGAAGCTCACCAAGGCTATGTGGGTCCTTATCCTCCCGTGTCTACTTACGATCCTGACAGCATGTTTCCTGCCGAACGTAAAAGCTTTCTTGGCCTGAATGCGATGCACGGGTGGCTGAAGGGACTGTCTTTGATCTGGATGAAGAATTGTTGACCTACTGTCAGAGTGATGTGGACATTTTGCGTCGAGGCTGTGCTGCATTCCGCAACATATTCATCCAACAGAACAACGTGGACCCTTTCTATGAAGCAGTGACTCTACCCATGGCTTGTATGCTCACCTTCCGAAAACAGTTTTGGAACCCGTACCATCGCCATCAGACCTACTCAAGGTTATCGTCCCCAGCGTGGCTACTGCGGCTTCAGTGTCTCCACTGGCTCAACTGGGTCATGCATCAACACCCTGGGGTCCACATCCAATATGCTCGAATGGTGGAGAAGTAGGCTTTGGACGGTGCTAACGGTAGCCGCTACATGGTGGATGGCTCTGGCCAAGACACGCACCGTGTATGAATACTTCTTTAGCTGTTTCTGGCATGGATGTACTTTCGCTGTTACAAGACGAGGCGATGTGAACACCATGCTAGCTTGGGTACAACCCCCTTGGGAACGATACCATCATACCATGTACCGACTGGGTGTGTTACGCCAACATCCCGACATCGACCAAGTGGTGACCCTCTGGGAATGCGATTTTCTGAAACAACAGAAAGACAATGGTGACCTGAGAGCCTTCCTGACCCCACTGCAAGGACCCCATGCCTACATGCCTGACCCATTGGATCCTAGAGATGCTTTCTTTGGAGGTCGTACCAACGCCACCAAACTGTACTCTGGCCAAAGAAGATGAAGAAATTAAATATGTGGACGTTTGCTCGTTTGTACCCTTACATCTGCAAGTATGGTACTTTTCCGTGGGACATCCCCGATCAAAGATCATCCTCCCTCGTCCTGACTTGTTTGAGCTCCCGCGGCCTGATCCAGTGCCGAGTCTTGCCACCCACCGACCTCTATCATCCTGTTCTTCCTTACAAGTGTCAAGGCAAACTGCTCTTTCCTCTGTGCCGTACATGTGCTGAAGAGCAGTTGGATGCTTCCTGCCCCCACGGGGATGAAGACCGGGCATGGATCGGTACCTATGTCAGCAAGGAGCTTCAGTTTGCTGTTGAAAAGTGTGGCTATCAGGTGCTTCACATCTTTGAGGCTTGGCACTTTGACACGCTTGCCACCTACGACCCTGACACTCAAGAGGGAGGACTGTTTGCCAAGTATGTGAACAATTTCTTCAAGATCAAGCAAGAGACCAGTGGATACCCCGAAGGTTGTCCAGACCCAGACGCCTACATCAACGAGATACAGCAAAAAGAGGGAGTCACCTTGGATCCTGCTCACATTCGCAAAAACCCAGGACTACGTGCCTTAGCCAAGGCCTGCCTGAACAACCACTGGGGCAAGTTTGGTCAACGCGTTGGGTTTGCCAAGACGGAATATATCAGTTCCC